TCGGAAAGAATAAACCAGTTTTTTTAAGAAAGGACTTGTGTCGCTAAAGTTTCGTCGGAACGAATTTACGGAAAATTATCTAACGACTGGAGACGTAACAATATAAAATTTTGAAGTTTTACGTTCAAAACAGCTAAATACGTTAATATATAAAAGAAACAAGATTATATAATATAGTAATTTTGAACATTTATATCAGAAATGCTTTAAAATAGATCTGTTATATTTTTTTACTTGATAAAATTATAATTATTAAAATGCATATTTTGTGTTATTGTATCTCTATGCTTCCGTCTATTGAAAAATTATGCATTCCCCAACCCTGTGATAGCGCTCGTTTCAGTTGTTTTTTAGTAGTTATCTAATTAATTAATTTCATGGAACTTCGGTAACAAATATAGCCGATAATTAGCATATACTATACATCATTCCACCCTCGTTTCATAACATTTACTTATTTCAAAAATAGTACAACTATTGCTATCTTTTGTTAACCCTCAACTGGTAGAGTGGGGTCAGAATGACCCATGTCGAAGTTTTTAAGTCCATATTCCAACTCACCTAGTGCTGCTCTCTACCTGATATTTTCTGTACTGTATCATCAATCAGTTCTTGAGTGTTGAGCAGAGCGAATGTGCTGTTACAGTTCTCTTTTTTATTGTTGTAATCGTTTGTGGGTCATTCTGATCCCCCCCGTATTATAAAGATAATATTTTTGAAGTTTATTATACATGGGTCATTTTGACTCACCTTGCCGCTTATTATTCAAGTATTTTTGTACAGTTGAGGGTTAAAGGAATGCAGAATCTAGATACAATTATATAGTTTTAAAACTTGCTATTTTATTATTATTATTAAGAAACATTCAATATGTGGAGGCTATTATATTAGTTACTTTTATTTCACAACGTTATTGGGTTCTATAATAATTCAGTTAGATCGTGGTAAAAGTAATAACTTTGAAAGGTATGATTGAATGTTATGTTTAATTCCCATTCTTCGTTTTGTTTCTTTTGCGTCAAACTCACCTGAGTTTTACGAAGGAAATCAACTCCAAAAGTGATATCTGGTATGATATTGTCAACTATATGCAGGAAAATAGAAAAAATTAACCAAGCTTCAGATGAGTTTTATAAAACTGAAAACAGGATCATCGCTTTATTACAAGACTATTACACGTCAAAGGTAATTCTCAAATTGAGCAACTTCAATTTTCTTTCCCATTTGATAAATTATGTAAATTCAAAATGTCAAATCACTTTTTAATGAATTAAATTAAATAGCAAAAAAATAAAAACAACAACCAAAAATGTGTCACTGACAAATCAAAAATACTATATAACTTAGTTTCGATCGTGTGTAGTGGATGAGTGTGGTGTAATATATTTGTATTTTAACACTTGCATAATATGCGAAAAAAGACCAAGTGAAGCTAATCTCGCAGCATACTTACTTTCCAAACACTCTGATTTACCCTTATACATATTTTTACGACAGCGGAGGTCACGTGACACTTGTAACACGTCATGCGCTCCTGGAACGTTCATGAAACCTCGAGATGTTACTAGATATGCGGTATTCTTGTATATAAGCTGACAAGAACTGACGGCAACAATGGGTAATTGAATTTCGGAGAGAGACGTATTGTTGAGTCGAGCACGTGAGACGTTCGTTGTGAATTAAAGCGT